TTTAAAAAAATAAATGGAAATTTTGTAAGGGCCTTTTATGCCTTTTTGAAATTTGAGAAATTAAAGCTTTTACATTTTAAATTAAAACTTTTTTAATAATTTGGCATTTTGAGTATTAGGTATTACAATAACAGCAGTCTTGATGGCCAAATAATATCTTTGCAAAATTAAGAAATTTTCCACTGTTGTTTTCTGCTTGTTGATTTTTTTTAACTGTAAAAAGGTCTGCACAACTATAGCAATGCAAGCTTCACATTGTTAGAAAGTAAAAGGAATAATTCTATAAAATGAAAGGAGTATAATCAAGTTTTTGTTATCATAAACAAATAGAAAATACAATTGCTCAGGAGATTTGCTTTCCTGTTCATTTAGCTTAAAGATTAATTTAGCTACCCTTATACATCTTATGCGATGAATAAAAACATTTCAGTTACTGCAACTCATTTAGTTGTTTTTTGAGTCATTAGTTTATCTATTAGTTAAAGCCTTTTTCTATTACTGATACTGCGACATTAGCATTGTCATTTACTAATCCTTTAATATATATAAATTAATTTTTTTAAGGGTTCACTGCTTTATAGGCTGTTAATTCATAGGAAGCAATAATGGCTAATTTTACTCTTTCTATTCAGCTAAAGCTGAGGAATTCAGTGGAACTAGTATTGTCAGTCCCTGTGCAGCAAGAAGTTTAGGATTAATGAGGATTAGAAATCATATTTCAGTTTGACCTTCATTTGCCTGTCACTCAGGAACGTCTTCACATTAAGTATCTGATTAAGTTCCGTTTGATCTTTAGCGGATTTTATAAAACATTTGGATTGTATGAAGTTTAAAGAAGTACTGTTTACAGTTCATTTAAGTAGGATAATGGGAGAATAATATGGAAAAACTTCTTGTATGTGCTTTGTATGTAGAAAAATACAAGAAATCTGTCTCTGGCACTGGAAAGTCATCACATTTCACTGGAAATACATTCACTGAAGTATTTTTGAAAGAGAAAGGATGACTTTCCCATTTTATTCCTTACAGCCTCTTTGTCTTAAAGAGAAAATACGGAATTGATGTAGTGCTAGAATACTAAATGAGCTGTACCACTCCATTTAATTGCTTTAATTGATAAAACAGAGAAGACTTGACACCTTAACTATACTATTTTATAAATTTACTTGTAATTCATATGCATATATCAAAATGCACACTGAAAATGTAAATAACTTTTTTTGTAGGATGTTACATACTTTAATAGGTCACCAAGGAGAGATTAGCAGTGCACAGTTCAACTGGAACTGTTCTCTCATTGTCACTGGCTCAATGGGCAACACATGCATGGTAAGAAAATTGAGCGTGTACTGAATACATCTACTTGATATATTAAAATATCTATTTTGTAAATGGAGGAGTATTATTTTAAACAAGTACTTATAATTTGTCAAAGAATTTACAACTAAATGCAGTACCTATAAGATTATAGGTAAGCTTAAGACCAGTTAAACAACAACATACGTATTTTAGGGCTTGTTTAATCAATACACTGAAATAATAATAAAAAAGGACTTAATTAAACTGACTAAACAGTGACTCTTTACTGATTTATGTCCAGGTTTCATGTTAATACTTTCAGTCAGACATCAGAAAGGACCTATACATGTCACTTTATGGTTCCAGTAGATATCTGCCAAGTAAATTAGTCAAAGTAAGCAAAAAAATTACCCTTATTTGTTTATGCAGCTGTGGAATGCTATGACTGGGACACATATAGCAACTTTAACGGGTCATAGTGATGAAATACTGGATGTCTGCTTTGATTATGCTGGTCAGCGTATTGCAACTGCCTCTGCTGATAGTAAGTGAACTGACTGGGACTGCTGTAAGAATTGCAATAGTAGCATAAAGAACCAAATTCCTTTGGTTTTGCTTTGATTGTAGCATGATGAAAGTGGAGTACTATGACTTGAAACTGTAGATCAAGCAATGTTTTTTGCATTATAGAAAGTTTGACATTAAGCTTAAGAAGTTTTCCCCAGTGAAAATTTTCTTATTATTCACACTTTAAACAACTCAGTATATCTTTCCTCTCTAACGTCAGAG